GTGGCAAATAAATAAATCTTTGAACAAAATATTTTAAAAAAATGAATCATCACAGAACAAATGTTTAAAAAATACAAAGTCTTTCCTCCTTTAAAAAGACTTCTTTTGAAGCCCAGAATCCTGAAATGTTGAAGACTTCTGTCTGAATCTGCTAAAAAAGATGATTATATTAAAGTAGTCCAGTTTTAAAGATGCTTTTTTTCTTTTTGGGCCCCCAAAAGGAACATGTCAACTCTCATTATTCATAGTAATTATATTCTGTTAAGCCTCTGTGAACATTTCATAGTGAATATGGAGCCATGGCTCCCAGGGGAAGTACCGGACTAAGTTCCTGTGAACCTCTCGTGGTAGCATTTTTGTCAACTGATTAATAAAGAGCCTTGTTTTACATGTGTCTCTGTTTAAAGACAACTTATTTTTAAAATATATTCTTTATTTTTTAATTTCCATGTATTTTTTTTCTCAGAGAGTGAGCAAGCAGTGGGTGGGGGACACAGAGGGGGAATCCCAGGCAAACTCCACGCCAGCGTAGAGCCTTGAGGCAGGACTCCATCCCACAACCCCGAGATCATGACCCGAGCAGAAATCAGGAGTTCGATGCTCAACCGACTGAGCCACTCAGGTGCCCCTAAAGAAAACTCATTTAATTTGAGCTCATGCCAACAGCCCAAACAAAGCTTCTATAATCCCTCTATTTTCTCTCTGAGACATATCCCCACCTTCTCATGCACTATGCTCAGGGATCATTTTAAGCAGCGAAATCACACACAAAATGCGCAAAATGCAAAAAACATGGCACTAAATAGACTACGAAAGGACACGCGTTGACAGGAGGCAAGCCGGAACAAGGAAGCAGGGGTCACCTGGTTTGATCTCAGCTGGGAAGGTACACGCTGGAGTTTTTTGCCACCGTGGGCATGTCAGCAAATGACCACGAAAACACTGAGAGTGCTACAAAGGGGCTACAAGTATATTTCAGCAAGTAGCAAAATTTGCAAATACAGACTTCACAGATCACAAGGACTGACCATATTTAGAAGATACACCCACAGGGGCGCCTGGGTGGCTCAGTGGGTTAAAGCCTCTGGCTCAGGTCATGATCCCAGGGTCCTGGGATCGAGCCCCACATCGGGCTCTCCGCTCCGCGGGGAGCCTGCTTCCTCCTCTCTCTGTCTGCATCTCTGCCTACTACTTGTGATCTCTGTCAAATAAATAAATAAAATCTTTAAAATAATAATAATAATAATAATAATAAAAAGAAGATACACCCACAGAAGTTCTCCAGTGAATTAGGCGCAAGTCATGGGAGATATGAACAGCCATGAATAGTCCTAGATATGAACATTAGCATCATCTTAAGTCTTTGTCCCCCTGAACTCTGTGCCTCCTTTTAGCTTAGTGACAAAGACTCTGTCTCTAGAAATGTAAACTTTTAAATGATCCATTATGAATGGCTCTGTGGGGACAAGAGTAGGGGATGGATATTTGCTCTCTCTCTGCAGCAGGTAAACTAGAGATTTAAAACTACCACTAGCACCTGGATTATGCTGAGGGTTTTAGGAGCTGTCCTGGCCTCCCCTCCATCTCTCCTCTCCCTCACTACTCATACCTGTGTAGCAGTGTCCAGACTCCCTTTAGAACCATCTTCCTACCTGAGACATGGGGTGGGCCATACCCCTGCATGTGGAAAACAATCTGATTGTTTCTCTTGACATGGTACCATGATCGAACTCCTCTTGGAACTAATAGACTGGCGCTTTCCACAGATTTTTTTTTTTTTTAGAGATTTTATTTATTTACTTGACAGAGAGATCACAAGCAGGCAGAGAGGCAGGCAGAGAGAGAGGAGGAAGCAGGCTCCCTGCTGAGCAGAGAGCCCGATGCGGGGCTCGATCCCAGGACTCTGAGATCATGACCTGAGCCGAAGGCAGCGGCCTAACCCACTGAGCCACCCAGGCGCCCCCAGATTATTTTATTAAAATATGCCTAATAACACACTTAAAGCTGGATAAAGGCAGTCCTATTTGAATCTTACTTTAACTTTGCAGGGATTAGAAGCAAAACAATGACATACGTGTTGATTTTTGTTAAATACATACACAACCAATTTATATTAATTTTTTTAAATTATAAGCATTTATTTGGATTTGGGCTTGGCTGGCTTATCTTTGTATTATCTAAATAGAAAAACAACCTTTAACATTCACTTCTATTTGCTTTATTAATTTTATTAACATTGATTAGTGGTATTAACCTTTTGGTGCTTTAGAAGTACCAATCATTCACGAAAGCAAAGAATTATTTCATAGTTCTTTCACTAGGGAAAGAACTTACCTAACGTAGCGCTCCCATGAAAATTTCATTAATTCACACCAATTATCCTTCTAGTTAACAAATTTCGTAGGATTTTGGAACTACTAGGATTTGGAACAGACATATTATTTAAATGTCTTATTACAGGCAAAAACCCTGAAATCCATAGAAGTTAAATAATTGCCCCAGATTGTCTAAAAAGTACAGGAGCCAGAGATAAAAATTACATCTCCCCTAAACCAAGGCTGTGCTGTTCCTACCATCTGTCCTGCCACATAGGAAATGAGGAGGTTCTCCTGCATGTTGAAATTGCATCATGATCATACAGAAAATACTAGTATCTGAATGCGTTGGTTTACTTATGTGTATACACACTGAGATCTAGTTTCTTCTTTTTCAGTCATACATCATTTTTCTACAAAACAAAGAAGAATCAGAGCAATAAAAGAAATGGCCAGGGTCTTAGTTCCTGGAGGCCAGCTGATGATTTACGTGTGGGCCATGGAACAAAAGAACAGGCACTTTGAGAAGCAAGATGTGCTCATTCCGTGGAACAGGGCCTTATGCTCGCGGCTTCTCTCAGACCCCAGCCAGCCGGGGAGAAAGCCATGTGCACATCCGGAAAGAAGCCATCCCTACCATCCTCCGTGCTCGGTCTGTAGCTGTTCTGTTTGTTTTAAAGAGCAGGGTCATTCACAGCGGTCCCACAGCATGGACTACGAGCCACTGATGGCTGGAACGTGTTGTACAGGTATTTCTAAGGAAGGGGAGGAAGAAAATGGATTCTATAACACATTAGGAAAATCTTTTCGCTCCTGGTTTTTCTCTAGGTCTTTGGATGAGTCAACTCTGAGGAAGCAAATTGAAAGAGTGAGACCCTTGAAAAATACAGAAGGTTGGGCCAATAGCACTATATCCATCCAGCCTTCCAGACACTCCAGCTTAGACTTAGGACACCAAGAACCACTTTCAACAAGAGAGCAAAGTTTAGATGAAGACGTGTTTGTAGAGGCGTCTCAGAAACAACTGGAGTGGCCGAGAGCACCAGCCACAAGGAAACATCTACGTGGGGACCAACAAGGAGAAGTGAGGAGAAATGGAGATGGGAATTTTCTGGAAGACGCCAATACTAGTGAGAACTGCGTGAATGAGGATGATGCGGAGGAAGGTCACCCTTCTGCTAGTAAAATCCTGAGAAGGATTTCTGCACTTGACTCCACAGATTCCAACTCGGAGGAGACGATTCCTGTTGAAGAACAACAGTCCGGCGTTTTGGATTCTAGAGCCTTTATGCGCTACTACCACGTGTTTCGAGAAGGCGAGCTCTACGGCCTGCTGAAGGAGCACGTGGCGGAGCTGCATGTTCTGAGCTCGGGGAATGATCATGGCAACTGGTGTGTCATTGCTGAGAAGAAGGACAACTGTGACTGACTGGGTCATTTTAGACAATTCCTCCAAAAGGTGAACCATGTTCTTTTCACTGGGTTTGGTACATGGTTACCTGAATTTGTGTCCAATTTTGTTATTTTTAATCCATTTGTGCTTTGGTTTGTAGAGATGATGAATCGGTCATCTAGTAAGTCTTTGGATGAACACAGAACCTGGCACATAAAGCATTTGACAAAGGATATTCGTAAATTATTAATTATAAGAGAATTAAAGGAGTAATAGGAAATGAACTTCAGTACAGATGGGATCTCCTTTTCCCTGCAAGGTGAAATTTTTATCAGGATATATGTATGTCATTTGTCAGTATTAGATGCTGATTTTAACAGATTCTGGTTGTTGACTTTTTATTACTATTGAAGTTGAGTCAACGTAAAATGTTATATTGATTTCAGGTGTACAACATAGTGATTTGACAATTCCATACAAGATTCCATTTTCATTTTTATAATGAAGGGGGTGGGTGAGTTCTGCTTCTCAGATTACACTTTAGATCCAAATACAAGATAACAGGTAAAGTGTTCCACTGTGCAGATGTAAACTGAATCACGTGATACATTAATTTGTTGCCGAGGCCTTGCTCTTACTTCAAGTCCTTCAAAAAGTGAGAGATGGTTGACATAGATAAGAGGTGTTACAAGGACTTTTCTAAAGGATAAGCAGACTTGCTTCCAAATATATAAATAACAAGGTTTTCAATGTTGCAAGGAAGGTTTTTAAAAGCACTAGGAGTGTGTAGAGAGTGGTGGGTGTAGGTACTAGGCACGTGGCAAGTACCCGGGTGGTATCTTCATGACCTCACTGAAAGGAGGAATGTCTGGTTAAGATAAGACCAAGACTGACTAATGAGGAGTTTTCATCTAGAGTGATGCTTTTCTTATGAACTGAAGCGGTTTTTAGGAACTGAGAATCTGGTTGAAGCACCATTTGATTTTGGTTCTCATTATAAATACACTGTTAAGGAGCAAGATATCTGTCCTTGATAGAGGATCTATTGTTGAATTGTTTAAAAAAAAAAATCTGGGCATTCATCTTATTGGAAGAGACATTTTATTCGTTATGTTAGGGATTTAGGCAGAATTAAGTCCTATTCAAGGTTGAATTTCTGCCACTTTGAAGGCAAACGAATAGACTGGGTGTCATACGGTCACTGCATCTGTTTCGAGTACCCACGGGTCCATTTAAATCTATGTCATGGGTCAGGAGACAAATATAATTGGGAATCAACATTTGACGGGAGTCTTTTTAATTTACGGACCACTGTAATCCTAGACAAATATCCAATTCTTGTTTTGTATAAAATTTCATTTGTTTTGCATTCTTCTTCCCTTCCATGATTATGCTCTATCTTAAGATAATGCTGCTATGTTCAGAGAAACCTAAAGGATTATTTTTAATGCTTATCTGGAAATGACTGATGTGTATTTCTCTTTTGGCTTCCAAATGAGATCTATCAACATCTTTTGCATGGGTGAGATTGTCTGATGGACAATATGTGAGATACAGGATTTATAGTGTTTGGTGCACAATTTGCATTAGAGGGACAATGAAAACAGACCCAGAAATGGAATATAAATTAAAGGTTAATTTAGTGTCTTCCATTTCTTATTTTAAACTTTAGGTAGTTAACATACAGTGCAGTATTCATTTCTGGAGAATTCAGTGATTCATCCCCTACGTACAACACCCAGAACTCATCACAACACAGGCCCTCCTTAACCCCCACGCCCATCTCCCCAACCCACGTCCCTCTATCAACCCTCAGTTTGTTCTCACTCATTAAGAGCTCTTACAGTTTGTTTTCCTCTCCTTTTTCCCCCCCTCTTCCCATATGTTCATCTGTTTATTTTCTTAAATTCCACATATGACTGAGATCATATGGTATTTGTCTTTGTCTGACTTATTTCACTTAGCATAATACACTCTAGTTCCATCCTCATCATTGCAAATGGCAAGATTTCATTCTTTTTGATGGCTGAGTAATATTGCATTGTGTGTGTGTGTGTGTTGTATTTTTATATATTTTATATATATGTGTGTGTGTGTGTGTGTGTATGTATGTATGCGTATGTATATATATATATATATATATATATATCCTTTAAATACCACATCTTATTTTACCCATTTATTGGTCGATGGGCACTTAGGCGCTCTCCGTAGTTTGGCTATTGTTGATAATGTTGCTGTAAATATTGGGGTGAATGTTCCCCTTTGAATCTGTAGTTTTGTAGCCTTTGGGTAAATACTTAGTTGGACAACTGTTAGATCATAGGGTTCTATTTTTTAAATTAGGACATTAAACAAGAGTATAAGTGGTTTTCTTGGTAGAAAGAAAATATTCTCTGAGTTGGAGAAGTTCTTACAGTTAAGTCTTGAAGGCCTTTTTGTTCTGAGTGGGGTTTTCCTTCCCTTGAAGCTTGTAGTCACGTGTATGTTTAATGCCAACCTTGCTGCTAGAAATCTGCTTGAAGTCATCTCTTTCTAGGGGGAGCGTACCAGTTACACGGAACCCCACCTATTAGGCTACATCGAAACAGCCATGCCCTCACCTGTGTGAGCGACCTCCTACGTACACCTCCTACTTTATATAAGATGATTCCTAGAATGGTTCTTGAGAAAGACTGGCACATAATTTTGAAGGGATGTAAATAAGAAGCCACCAATAATAGCAACCTTTTGCTCTTCATCTGCTGAGCACAATAATTCTCTGCATCCAGACATTTTTCTGTGTCTGAATATTGAACACTCCATGGTTGATACCCTCTCTTTGGTGTATTCACAGGGAAAGCGCTCTTAACTCTGACTTCCATCTCTGGAGATTATATATGTGTATGTCATCGAAGAGCCAAGCTGATGTAAATATCTTAATCTTTTAAAAACCTTGCTGATATTGAGGATTGTCCTCAAAAGGAAATACAAATCATAAGCGATTTTAAGTGCACACAGCTTACTTATGATTATTCAGTCTGCCTTAACTTGCTTAGCTATAGATTTTGCTGATCTGAAGTAATATGAAAACTTGGACTCCATTATGAGTACTGGATCAAAGAGTGTCTTCCCTGTTCCTTCTCTGTTCCTTGCTGGAATCCCTGCAGAGTCCCACTGTCTGAAGAAGCAGGAAGTGTTTGCAAGATTACCCGAAAGGTCTTCCTTGAAAGCCTTTGCTGGCTGGGGCTCCTGGGTGGCTCAGTCGGTTAAGGGGCTGACTCTTGATTTCAGCTCAGGTCATGATCTCAGGGTCCTGAGATTGAGCCCTGCCTCGGGATCCACACTCAGTGGGAAGTCTGCTTGAGGATTCTCTCTCTCCCTCTCCTTCTGCCCCACTCATGCACTCACTCTCTCTCTTCCCAAATAAATCAATCTTAAAAAAAAAAAAAAAAAAAAAACCTTACTGGCTTACTGATGCCTCACTGGCCTATTTAAGGATGACACACAGCCCAATGATTTGGGGTAAACTGCATTAACATGTGGGAAATAACATCACAGTGGCAGCCATGCACGTGATCTATTTAAACTATGATTTTTTAAATTGTCACTAAGGTGACGGAGTGACACCAGTGTGTCATGTCACTAACAAACCATGTGACAACTGTCTCAGATTATCATGTCGATCTGGTCCTCCTCTCTTGCCACACTGCCTGATACAGGATGCTGTAGGATTCTCGCTTCCAGTTTGCCCTTCTACATTCTTCCAAATTCTAGAGGTCAAGAATTCCTCAATGTTTTAACTGATCCTCAGCTGAATGGGCAAACATTGGAGGTAATCCAAAGAGAAAGTGATTCAAATCCAAATCATCCAGGAACATAAATGTAATTGTATATTCATAGCCACACAAAAAATAAGCACTGCTGAATTTTTTATAAAACTAAATGGGTTTGGAGGAGGACAGAGGGGCTAACCCAAGAGTTATGGAACTTGGTCACTTGGTTGGGGAAGGTACTCCCTAAAACAGAGCTCTGTTTGGGAGGGGAGGAGGAAACAGGGTCTAACCACTAGCCAAGCGGCTGCGGCCTAGGGTTGGGGGGAAATAGGGCAGGCCTGAGCTCTTCCCTGCTATTATGTAAAAAATATGAATGAATAAGAGCAGCTAACTTCCCTTGATATCTAACCGGAATTATTCTAGCTCTAATGCTCGTCACAGCCCTCTGGGATATAAATATACTTACTGTTTTCTAGGGAAACTGAGACAGAAAGAAATGAATTAAATTGCCTAATATCACACACAGAGCATGTATCCCCCATGTCGTGTAAGCGGCAGGGTTGAGATTCAAGTGCAGGCAGGCTGGAGGCAGGCGGCTCCCGCCTCTGTTCTCAACCGCAATACTCTATGATCCCCCAGTCACGGTGCCGGGCAGATGACACGAGCCTTTCAAGGTAAGTGGGATCATCCCCTCTACAAACGAACGGCAGCAAAGTTAAGCAAAGATGTCACAGTTACACAATAACTGGATAGTAATCCTTGACATCTTTTACACCTATTTTTCTCACTTGTAACCCTGTTTCTATTTGACATTAATAAGAAAAATAGTCTGTCACAAAATGCTCCGTAATCACGTCTCTTCCCAACTCTTCAACCCTTGAAATACTGTATTATTGTGTTTCCTTCTTAAGGATGAGAAAATTGAGGGCTACTCATTTTACTTGGTGATGGAACCCCACTCTATGTACTGATCCTAGATACATAGGATATGAGGCCATGAACATCGGGTGTGTCGCGTATACACAGAATATGAAAATTAAGTGACCCAAAGGAGCCAAGGCAGAACAGTTTCATTTTCATTGTATACCTACCACCTCGTTGTACTTGAAGTAATACAGAAAACGCCCTCTTAGAGAACCCCCATGCGTATTAGCCTATGGAAGGTCTACCCTAAAATAAGTTTGACTTAATGCAATGGAGCTTGCCCTCGACACACAGCATCCTCTAGCACAAGTCTTCTGACGAGCATATTTAAGAAAATAAAGCGTTCGACGGAATGGGAGGTAGACCCCCCTCGGGTGGCACTCAGGCTCTTCATAAATTGGTAATTATTTTTCAGGCTCATCTCCTGCGACTGCACCCAATTTTTTTTTCCTGTTCTGCAATCTGCTGTTTTAAACAACGCTTTTTATTAGAAATTGCACAGTGACAAGCAATTATCACATCCCCTAGATATAAACTTGGACTTCGAATGCCATAATTGTAATCCTTCTCCCAAGAAAAACGCCTGGCGCAGGCTGCATTCCACCAATTCAAAGGGCGTATGAGGTAAGTGTTACCACACCCCCATCCAGCAGATGGAAAAACCATGGGAGTGAAGCGCGTTACACAGACTTCCCTAGAGCCTCAACCAAGACTGCTCCCCCTCCTCTTTTCCGGGCCCCGACCCCAAATTATGATGATTGGTTTAATCACA